CAAAGAGACCATATTCAAGACGTCAAGCAGCAAACGGAGGTTGTTGGACTGCCGTGCCCATTGCAACACGCTCGACGAAAGCGCCCGCCTCCGCGATCGCAGCCACGTATGTATGCAACATCAACTCGCCAGGCTCGTGGTATGTCGAGGTGTCTAGAGTCCAGGTGTGCAACCGGCTGGACCATGCCGCTTGCGGTCTGGAACCGCTGCGAGGAGGCTCTCTGCAGCTTTGGCGCCGTTTCTCATCCAGGTAGCCCTGCGCTTTCTGCCACCACCCGCTCGAGCGAGCTTCCTGCACCCGCCAGCAGAACCGGTGGCTTGGACACAAACCCGCTGCTAGTCAATAAAGCGGATGTGGCTACGGTACCAGGAAGGTACTGATTACGCCAGCAACTTGTCATAGCTTGTCTGTGTAAATCCGAGAAGAAAGAGTCCCACCCCCTCAGAGGCCCTCCTCGAAAGCAGTGGACAGCTTGCGGGCGGCCTGCTTGCCCATGTCCTGAACCTGATCGGCTTTGCCCCAAAAAAACTTCTTGCCCAGGCTGAGATCATGTTCAGTTCTGTCAGATATCGCTTCAAGGTTGAGGGATGGCGGAATCTCGATTCAATAGAGAATCACATCGTGCAGATGGACAGCAACAGGGACGGTACACCTGATGCAGCGGCGATGGCCCGCAGAATACGGTCATTCTGGGCTAGCCAACACCCATTCGGCATGTACTTGCTAGCCTGCTAGGTGCAAAGCCATGAGCTCCAGTGATCCAACCTGCTTCACCTCGAACCCGACATAGAAGGCTCGAATGCGTGGAATATGTGAGAGGCCAACAGAAGGGAAAGATGTGCACAGCGACAGTCGGCACATGTGCAAACCCGTAAGCACCACTGTAAGCTTTCAGAAAACCAAATGTATAAACTCGACGAAGCCAGCGCCTTTTGGCCAAAAACTGAAACATCCAACGACTCTGAAGAATCCCAGCCCAAGAATGCTGCGTGACCTCTTTGGCTGCCTCCTGCACGGATTGGGGCAGCTCCTGCTGTTGCAGGCTGACTGTTCCAACTCCCACGGTTGCAGCCCAATCCCGGTTCAGAGGCATCGGTATCTAGCTTTCTGTGAAGACGCCCTCCGGAATCTCGCATCTCAATGTCAAGGGACCTGAATCTCAAGCTGCCAAGACCCTCCTGCTGCATGTGCTGCAACGCGGCGAGCGACGCATTGGGAGGCTTCTCAGCCTCCAGACTCACAAACTGAGTGAATGAAATGCTTCTCCGGACTTCGCATCGGGAGCCCTCGGTCTTGCACAAATGCAACGCACCTCGCTTGCAAAGCTTGTTCGCTTGCTTGCACTGCACCCTTTCCAAACTGTGCCAACACTCGACTCTGCTTGCGGTTCAACCCAACCGCACAAACGCTACAGACCTTCTATCCCCGGTGGAACGTTCGACCCCTGGGTTGCGAATGGATTTTTTGGGGTTGGGGGGGGGAGAAAAAACTGGAGCTGGTGCAGATGAAGACGGTTCTTCAGGGCACTGTGTCAAGCGGGCTGAAGGTGTTCTGATGCATTTCGATGAAGGGGCAGCTGCGTAGACATTAGGTTGAAGAACAGCTTCCCACCTTCTCCCCAGGCTTCCTGATCTCGCCGATGTTCCTGGACTGCGATAAGGCGACGGCTCGGGGACTCGCTCGGATACTTCGGGCGTCTCTTCGCTTCGGGCACAAGTTGAGGCAGCTGAAGGATGACCTTCTCGGCTGCTAGAGACATGACACGGTTTCGAAGCGCACTCAACTTCACCCTGCCCTGAAACCTTTGGACATCAGACTGACAGAAACTGAGCGAGTACAGTCGCATGCGATGAAGCGGCTCGCCAGCCATGTAAGCGCTGTCCCTCGGCTTCACCGTCTCCTGAGTGGTATGCCGTGTTTGGATAAGGGCCCCTGCGGTATGCATGCCAGGGACACTTCGCATGAACTAAACTGACTCAAGAGATTTGCAAAGAAACCTGTGCACCGACCTGGGGCAGTCGAGCAGCCCAGAAACGGCCAACGAAGTCCAGAGGACCCTCCTCCAGAACCTTTCTTGTGCTGGAGATGTGAGATGCCGGAGACTTGCTGTGGCAAGTTTACTATCCACCAGCACGACTGCAACTGCACTAGGAAATCCGAGAAAGTATGCCGGCATTTGTTTGTAACAGTCCATCTTTAACACCTCGAAGCATTCCGCATCACGCACGCTGCGTGCGGTATGACAGCGAGCGCAACTGCACAGCGAGTTAAAGACTGCAAGGGCTGAAATGCAAATCTATCGTTGGCACTTGCTCTGGATTCGGGTCCACGGTACTCTCGGGGAAGAACAGAAAGCTGTCAACGACATTCAACGACTACCGCAGTTGTGGAGGCTGGAGCCTCGAAGCCCCGTCTTTCCAGATGGCAAGGCGCAGGTTCTACGGTGTTCTGCGCACCGATGTGCAGCTTCTGGAGATCCTACGGGGATCGATTCCGTTTCAGCACAAGGGTGCATGGGGAGCTTTTTTGCTGCGCTTGGTGCCTTGTCGACGTCTGCAATCGAGAAGCTAGAATGGAATCTGAGTCGTAGGTCCCAACTAACGTCTATCCGAGGGCCATGAGAAACATGTCCTTCATAATGAGCGAGATGGTGTCGTTGAGCTGTGCCTGGAACAGATGCTGTGGGAAACGAAGTCATATGCACTGACCATGACTTGCGGTTCCTGGTGCCTGCCGGTCCTCCTGTAAACTTACTATCATCCCGGACTCATTCGTTACCCTCTTAACCCCACTCCTTGGCAGGCAAAATGCTCGAGATATTGGGGTGTCCAAGCCCATGCCATACTCAACACCGTTGGCTTCCGGCCTTCTCTTTATGCAGCTCCTCCCGCTCAGCCTCCAAGTCCTTCAACATCTCCTGGAGCACGCGTTCGAGTTGTATTTCTGTCAGCTCTTTTCTGTCTGGATGTTGTGCGCCAAGGTCCCACTGGAGCGGGTCGAAAGGCCTCCCAGCTCCCGTCCGCTCGTGGCCCCAGCCCGATTCTTGAAGCATCTTAAACCCACCAAAAGCGAAGCCACACAAACGTTCAGAGCGGAAATCAAGAATCGCGTAAGTTAAAGGCTGTACGTGGATTTACGATGCATGACCTTGAACCGACAAGCCTGAGACCTGAGACAACCTCCTAAGGAAGTGCTCGTGCGACCTGCAGCGACTCCTGGCCTTTCCTTGGCAGCAGCAAAACGAAGAACTTGAATCGCCACACTTTCGATGCAATTTCAGACGACAAAAGCGCAGCACTTGCATCATCTCGCTTGCACATACCTGGGTCTAGGCCTAAACTTGATCAAGTCTTTCCGATTCCTACCAGAATCAGGCGGAGTCAAGCGAGTTCAAGCGTCTCCAGGCGCTGCGCCATGGCCCGAAGCTCCGCCACGTCTTTGCCCTTCAGCCTGGACGGTACAAGTAGGACAGCTGAAGGGTGAGATGCAGGGTTCTGAAGTTCGCGATGCGGAAACTTCCAGGTGCAAGCTAACTACATACTTCTCGGACGAAGGTTGGCAAAACCTCTTGTTGCTGAAGTGCTATTTGGGAGGAGGCCCACAACGGGAGCGCATCTGCAGCCAATAAGGGGGGGCTGCTGTCAACAGTGAATGAATGCGGCGTGACTGAACTCCCCCGCTCTTTATATCCTCAAAGAAGCCAGGCGACGCAACCAATGCTTCCTCAGCACCTGTCTCCTTGCCGTTGGCGCATTCCGCCATGGATGCGCGTGCGGCCTTGGCTGCCATGTCCAAATAGTTGCGCCATGTAAGGACCTTTGGTTCGAAGCCTGAGCCCACGCCCCTGTTGCAAGCTATGGCAGGCTGACACCGCGTGATTCACATGCACATGCCCTGACTCTACAAGACTTCTGCAGAGCTCGACCGCATCGGTCGTGGTGTTTTTATGGTCGCACGGCTGAAGCTTTCAGTCATGAGGACAGGGTGCTGAGTGGACATCAGACATGATGTGTTAGACACGAAAGAACAACTGTGGCCAGAATCTTCGGCCGCGAGCCCCGGCAATTAACAGAACGTGGAAAACCGCTGATGCTTGCACAGTCTGTGTTTTACGTGTTGCTTTGCTGTCCTTGCTGTGATTGGCACAATGCTAGAAACCAGAACCCTTCAGGTTTTAAGCTGTGTTCCGTGCAGCCATGCCACCACCGCCAGCAGGCGGGGTCTTGGGGCTGTCTCTTGAGCCGGGAAAGCTAGCATGCACGGATGCGCGAAAGGTAGAACATCAGACTCGGATGCTTCGAGGATTTGTTGCGGCTGCTCCTGCAAAACTAGGCATGCAAAAAACTAGCAGGCATGCTAAGGCTTGATGGGAGTACCGAAGCAACCCCTCAACAGGAAACAGGCAGCCAGAAATTCCGGCGGATTTCAACGCGGCATATTCTCCCATACTTGACAATCTGCCAGCAGTTCGCCCTGTGCCCTACACCCCAATGCTTCGTCACATTTCCCGAACACTGACTTCGAGCTCCGAGGCCAGGAAAACTTGCATTTGCAGCCTCGCTAGTACATCTACTCGAGTTCTGAGAAGGTCATCTCTGGCTGCAGACGTGTTAGATCCTACTGCTTTGGTACTGTACCTCCTCGCGTGCTCATCACGCTAAGATACGAATTGTAATGCAGTGTTCGTCAACGCTGAAGAAGACTACGCCGCAAGCATGATAGTGTCCTGGTCCTTCTCTTTCCCCTTTCCCCGAGAATGTGTTGCTTCCTTCCAGCTTAGCAAATCCTTTTGAAGCATTAATCGACGCCTTCTTGTGTAGCAATGCTTGGCCCAGACTTGAAAACCCATCTTTCTCCTTGCCAAAGGTATTATTTCCTTTTCATCCGGCAAGTTCTCCACGAGTACTTCCTGATCACATGCAACAAGATCCCACGTTGCAACCTGTTACGGAGGACGGGATGTAAGTTACAGCCACCGCAGAACTCCGGTAGCCGACGCCTTGGCTCCGTCTTTGGGTCGTCCCGGATTGTTCTGAGTAGCCGGGCCTTATGCATGGCACATGAAGTCTTGTGTACAGCAGCTGCCTCTTGATCCTGTTGGAACGTCCAGTTGTCTACAACATCGTCGGGCCTGCATCGATCCGTGCATGTTTGGGTGTCTACCGATGTGCGTTATAGTCGCTTCAAGCTTGGAGGATTGCATTCTTGTCCTTGTCCTACCCGAGCCCGACCAACGACACATGTTCTCTTGCTCGTGACAGCTTCGGACATGTACTCGAAGAGATTCGTGGTTCCGTTTTATCACATCAGGCAGCATACTTCAATGCAGCGTCAGGATTCAAGGGTTTCTGCCCTTGACGAAGAATACTGAGGGCTCGTCCACCGCCTCTGCTTGCGATTTGCCGCGATCTGGGCCGGCACTGCTCATTCCATCCAACACCAAGACACACTTCAGAAAGTTCATGTCGTTTGACGAGTTCGATTGCTGCAAGTGCCAACCTCGAGACCTGAAGCAGTAAGATGCAGCCCAGTAATCTCCAGCATGTCTCTGAACTTCGGAGCACGCGAACCAAATCTAACGAAGCCCTGACACGAATTCCTTAGAACGACGTCGGGCACCAAAGTCAGGGGCCGGCCTGTCAAACCAGGATCAGGCTCTCGACCTCGGCAAGCGATGCTCGCAAACTGTGTAGGCAGCCAGGCACTTACGTGAAAGACAAGATTCGCTGTAAGGCCTCGAGCAGCAATCTTGCTGTTCAGCCTCTAGCCCCTATGACTGGTTGCATGCAGTTGCCAACTGTTCAAGTTTGAGTGCGCCGGTGCAGCGGATCTTATGATTGAAGAGGCCAAGTGAAGACCCACATCGTCCTGGACATCTGAAACCTCTGCCAAGTAAAACTAGGTGCAAGGCTTGGCCGAGGGGAGCTCAGCAAAGACACCGACTGCTCGGCCTGAGAAAGATCGTGCTTTGACAATGGTGCTTCCTTCAAAGGCCCTCGCAAGTGGAAAGCAGGAGGCGGTGCTCAGGGAGCACGAAGTGAACTCAATTTAACCTCGCCATCTTTGACTCGGCAGGATGAGCCGCATGCGATCGTGTGCTGCATCTCTGAAGCGGCCAAAGCGGACCGTCCGTGAGAATCAGATTGCGCAACACCGTCCACGTTAAGTTCTGGCCCTCGAATCGGGGCGGCGCTCAACATGAAGATCGAAGGCATCCACAGTCCCACAGCCTCAACATCACCTGCAGCAACTGACACTTGATGCAGTCGCTCGTGATTGGAATGCCCCAGTAGTGCCACGTCTTCTTCGGCATTGTAGTCATCGTCGGTCGACTCCGGCAGCCGGCGGGGAGCACTCCTCGACATCTCCGGACCGACCCACGAGGGCCTGGTTGAAATTCATCCGTGCTTGCTTTTGGAGTTGGCGGCCAAGACCATTACTGCAACGCCCTTGCCGGTTCGCCAAGTGTTCGGGGGGTCATGCGAATGTCGCAAAAGTTTTTCTGTGTGCTCGTCCTTGGTGTACCTGGGGAATTTCAACACTGTCTGTGTCACACACAAAGATCTGAATCAAACAATTTCACCCTGGTCATCTGCATCTACTGCATACTGATGCAAGCAATGCTGTACGAGTAGGATGCTCCTAAGACATCTTTTGCCGCGCCCCGGGCCCCGCCTGATAGTCAGGCTTTCTTCCGAGTGTCCACAGCGAGACCATGCCGCTTGCTCGTCTGGATGCCACCAAAGCGGATCTTGCGTGGAAACGCCGTCCCTCAATATGAGCAACTTCGGGGTGTGGTGGAGCAGCATCCAATGACCTGGCACGAGTGTCTTGCCTGCTTGCTTGCCTTTGCCCTTGGCCTTGGCAGCTTTCCGGCCCAAGTTCTTCACGTTCTCCAACGCGCATGGGCCCTGCAGTGGGGGCAAGGCATGCCGCTTGTCTCTGCGATCTCTGTCCCAGTCTTCTTGCCGCGGTCGTTTCGTCCCTCTCGCACGACCCTCCTTAGACGCCAGCTCCATACATGCTGGGTCACGAGCTTTCTCTGCCAGCACCAAATTGAAAAATCTACGGTGTCCATCAGCCGTGCTTTCTTCCACTCGTTTGCCTCTAACATAAATCTTTGCCTCGGCCTTGTCGGCAGGAAGTCTCTCCTTGGACCCTTTGGAAACCAGCTCTTTCAATTCCCACATTCCTTGCAACTGCTGAAGCTCCTCAGTGGCAGTCAACTTCTTCCGGGTAGATTGGGTGCGGCCTTTTTGAAGAACGACTGCCTTGTGATCGCCGGCCCATCTCCCGCTGGAGACCCGCACCACTACCTCGGTAGGTGGAGGTTGCCCCCTAGGAGCGGTCTCAGTTTGTCCCTCCTTTGCTCCAGGTTGTGGCACACGTGGCCTGGCGAAGATCTGTAGCCCAACCATGGCACCAACTGTGACGGCTGCTTTCGTGTGGGAACTGCAACTCGGAAGACTGCTGACACGCAAGCATATGCAAGCACTATTACTATAGTGGAGCTGTTGGGCCCGATTCCACGTTCTCAGGCTCTCGTAAGCAAACGAACCATGACAAAGATAATCCATGCATGACCCTTACTTGGCTACCCTTGTGGACATGGGCTGACAAACCAAGCCATGACAACTCTGTGTGTTGTACCACATGACACGACAGGAATGAAGGCACAAAGAATCAGGCCATCTGTTGCCCTGTCTTGTCGTCCTCTTCGTCGATCTTGGCGAAAACATCGGCAGCAACGCTCTCACCTTCACCGGTTACACTGGGAAACAGCCGATGCCGAAACTAACACATGTCACATCTCCCGAAGCTGGCACCTCGCTCGACAAGGCTGGATAGAGATGAGTTGCTTGTGCCGACCAGCCCTGACTGAACAACGATGCCACGCGGGCGCGCTGCCTCCTCTGCCAAACGCCCGCGCGGTGGTACTGGCGGACGGCGTTGTTGGCAAGTTGACCGACGAACGGAGGTCGTGCAGCTCACGACCTGGTGGGCAGCATCGTGTCAACCAATGCACATGATTTGCATTGTAGCCTGTCTGACTGCCTCCACCACCCGTCCTGTGAGAACTTGCTTACTCCTGGGGTCCGCACTGTTGTTTTTGGATTCCGCATGGCGCACCAAATAAACATACAAAGCCTGACACATGCACATCGCAACAAGTGTCTGCAATGACTCAACAAACATGTCATGGCTTCCCATGCCATGTCTTGCCACCCAACCCTCTCAAGCAATGACACATGTAACGCAGCTTCGCTTGCCTTCACCATCTCACGTTTGCGAGCGAGCCGCCTTTTGCAAGTCGACGCTCGCACCTGCTATGCATTGTTGTGAAATTAATAAAGATGTGGCACCCATCTGCACGTGGAACAAACGGATTTCAAAGTTACAATACGCTGGCTTTACTGGATCACGCCTGGATGCCGTGGCTTTGTTCAACCCAGCACCGAGCGGTGAGGTGAGGGAAGGCTGGCCAGAACTACCAGCAACAAACCAGCATGCTCAAACCCACCATACCCACCGGGATTGCCGTTAAACCGACCAAGCTGTTAACCGGTGTGTGTTCCAGCCTGCAAACGTGGGCACGCTGCACTTCTGACCCGTGATGTCCTGCGCTTCACATGCGAACCGATACTGCCAAGAGTCACAGCTCCTGGTCGATGTTCTGCTAGCGATGAATTGCACCCAACAACCGGATGGATGCTGCCAGGTCGCTCTTGTCAAGGGGACGGCATGCACCAATGTACCGTGCCAAGCGTACTGTGCGCTGGCACTGCTGCCTTGAACCGATGCGTCAACATGGTTGAGCAGCGCCACTGGTGCATCGCATGTCAATCCTGCTGCCATCGCGAGTCTCCACAGAAAACCCATCGTTGGCTGCACCTTAAGTATGCAAGCAAGCGTTGAATGAAAAATATCGGGAAGTCAAAACGCGTTCGTGTTCGGCTTGTCGACTTCTTCGGTGCTTTTCGCACGCGGCGCTGCTTTTAGGGTTTTTCGGTTTTCCGAGGTTGTTTGCGATTTGCGCACTTTTCTGTACTTTCCGGACTCTTCTGCTTTTTTAGTTGTGATTCTTTTCTGCGTTGTCGCACTTCTCCATACGTTTTCGGGTGTTTCTGTGTTTCGCGTTTTTCTGGGCGCTTGGAATGTTCGGTACTTGTCGTCTGCGTCGATGTTTTTCAGATTTCCAGACAAAAGCTCCGTACCCTGTTTGTGCCAGACGCAAAGGCTGAATTGCCGGGGCCACGGGAAGAGGCGGGCGTGGCTTGCGCACGGAAGCGCGCAAAAAAATTGACAAAGGTGGCAGCTTCAGTGCTCCAGCGGCCACAAAGCCCAAGGGCCAGCACGGAGCTCAGGGTAGGCGCAGGCGCGCTCCTTGGTTTTGCGCGCAAGTGCCAGCGCAGCGCCAGCTGGTGCGACCGGCCGCCCTGCGGGGGGGTCCAGCAGAAGTCAAGGGGGACACCGATGTAGTGTCGACTGCAAGTTGCGAGTCACCCCAGAGTGCAAGTCCATTAGCAATGACCTCGAATGACCTCGATGCGGCGCTAATCGGCGCTAATTTTGTCGGGCGACATCAACGCTGAGATGCCGAAGCCGGGCGTTGAGGGCAACGGTTCAACGGTGGCTCCGGCCTCTCGGCATACGCGGGCGGTCGCGCGCTCGAGAGGCCCACCCCTGGCGCGGAGGACGCCTGACCAAGATTGACCAAGGACATGCAACGACGTGGTCCCCGAAACGGTCATGCAACTGCCGGCAGCGGCAGCGGGCAGAAGTCAAGGGCATAGGAAGGCGGAGGCAACGTCCGAAAAGGGGGCGAGCGGTTCGGCTATGAGGGCTTGCCTTGCTGCGGACAATTCCCCCAAGCGTGCGGGCGTTTTCCATGCTTGTCAGAAGATGAGGAAGCTTGCCAAGAGTGATGTGCAGAATTGCTGGAAGCACTGCGAGCGAGCAAGCCAGATTTGGCCGTTGGCCAAATGGCGTTTGAGAGCTATCGGGATATCCTGGTTGTCGGCAGTTTTGTGCATCGCTGCCATCCAATACGGGACCTGGACCGGTCGCCAGCGACTCGGCTTTGTGTGCGGCATTGGAATATTTCCGCTGTTGCGCAGATACAGTTTCGACCGTGCCGAGTTGCAGCTGGCCCTGCCGAGCAAGAGCGCTGAAGATATCGCCGACGACCCGACTCCAAGAAATATGATGCCACAGCGTGGGGACGGCAATGTTGGCACAGATGGAACGGCCCCAACGGAGTTGAAGCAGTCACTCTCTGCCTTAGCCCAGGTTCCAGTTCCTTCGGTTCGACTTCCTGGCGCTATGACAGCACTGCTGTGGCACAGCCTAGAAAGAGCACGCTCGCTCACATATTTTCCGCCTGCTACTGCAGAATCCTTGTGCCTGAAAGTCCGCGGCACATGTGCAGCCACTGCTGAGAATTGTTCGTGTCGCACATCGACAGGCGCTTCCACAGTTCGCTGGCCCCCTGCCCTATAGGTCAGGCAGTTATCGTGACTGACACATCTCCGTATCAAGATTTCAAACATGAATTGGGTGCAGTGGTTTCAATGCATGATTCCGGCCTCGTTGAGGTTGCGTTGTGCAATGGTGCGATGCTGTACCAAGTGCCGGGTACATCAAGACGGCACAGCTCCGCGATGACGAACCCGAATGCGAACAGCTTGCGCGGCTCAGATCTGCTCAGGGGCAGGGGGCGTCGCTGTCAGAAACTGGCACCAACCACGCCACGTATGCCCCGCTTTCCATGGCTGCCATTGAAGCCACCCAGTCCCAAGCACGAGTTGTGAAGAACTTGTTGGTCACGTGGTCGGCTCGAGCAGCCCTCATTCCAAGTTGGTCGTGAAGCTTTTTTTTTTGGAAGGAGGTCGTCGAGCAAGGGAAGTTCTAAATCGCGTGGGAGCTTTGCTCAAGTCCTTCGGTTATCTCGGAAATGGACGCGGAACACATCCGCACGTGGCAGAGATGAAAGAAAAACTTGTGGAGCTGGAGAGCGCGGCGCGTTGGCTGATTCGACGGCTCTGTTTGACGGTGGTTTGCTTGATGCAGACGCCACGGAGATGGATGAGGAGGATGCCGGAGGTTGGGAGCCCAGTCTCCCCCCAGATATGAAACGTTCAGGCCCAGAAAACTATGCGTCTTTCCGAGCTTCGGGCGCCCGAAGTGCCAGGGAGTGTCTCAATCAGATGATCCCGCTTGATCGCCGAGGAGACATGTTGCAAGCACTGTCGCAAGACGAACGTCAGTTTTATGCCTGCGAAACGAACGTTGTCGAACTTCGAGCCAGGCATCGCCGCGGAGGTGAGGGACTCAACCTTCCAAAACCACTGCGTTTTCGTTCATGCCCATGGGGACGCGCAGGCCTCACTGCTTCGGCTCAAGCAATCAAATTACTCAGCAAGCCCTGAGCAATAGTGCGCCGTCCCTTGCTTGCTCCGCTTCCGAGCGGGATAGTAAATACGGTGCATTTTCAGGCGGTGACATTCCCAACACTCGGAGACCATGCCGTGGTCCTTATCACGCACACCTCCAGTGCCTCGCATGAGACGCAGCTGTACTCCTTCACGAGCTCACCGCCTACTCATGACACCACCTTCCAGGGAATGTTTGGACCACGAGTTTGCATCCCCAACCGGCAGTGTCTCGCAGATAACTGCACCAGACCGTACACCGAGCACAGCCCTGGACACACAACCTTTATCCCGTCATGAGCAACCCTGCTGCGCATTGTGTCAGCTTGAGGTGACGCAAGGTTGCACCTCTCCTCCGACGGACGTGCCCTGGAGGTGGCCATGTAGCTGTGGTGTACAACTGCACCTGGCATGTGCCATGCAGATCCGGCTTCGTTAACTCCGATAGACCACCGTGTTTGCATTGTCGCGCGCCTTGGCCTGGACCTTCTGCTGACGAGGCGCTGCAAGCCGCCTGTCGGTTGGCAGGCCTTCCCATCCAAAACACTTGGGAGTCGCTCCCTGTTAATGACGAAGAACAGCCGGAGTTTTGCGCGGGAATGCCAGCTGCACCAGAACGTGTCCTTGTACTATGTTGTGCTCGGTTGTCCGCGTTTGATGCGCCGCTGCATGCACGTGAAGCTGAATGGGCCCCTACACGACGCTTCGAAGTGAATGCCCAGGGCCATCGGGTCCAAGTCGGCTGGAACGGTGAGTGGTCTTGCAACTTGTGTGGACGCTCCCTTTCGCAAGATGATCCTTTGGCATTGCCTTCGGCAGCCGAGTCCCCTGACCTTTGGTCATGTCCAGTTGACGGTCCGCGGACACTCGTTGTTGATTTGGCCCATAACTCCCGGAAGTGGCTTTGCTTTCCCGGTTGCACATGCGAATATAGCCATAGCTTCCAAACTGCGCATGTGCACATGCAGCCTCAGCCGCATCAAAATAACTTTTTCACAACAGGACCTCCTGCGACCAACCACGAAGGCACCAACTCCTTCCTGTACTGCCCGATTTTGCTGCACGTGGCTGACCTATTGCAAGGTCCTGCGTTGGAGGCATGGTGTCAGGCAATCCCGTGGTTTGCAAATTTGTGTTCGTATTTAGCACGACAGCTTTATGATGTCGCGCAAGTCACTCAAGCATACTCGGAGCTGATAGAAATCTCTGGAGGTGGAAGCTCGGCTGACTTCAATGTTGTTGCGCAGCTTCGGGCACTGACCACCCAATACCCTGCAGGAACCCGAATAGGAATTCGATGCTTGGTTCCTGCCGTGGTTGACCATAGTGGGCACATACCCAACTTGTTGCAAGACTTGATCCTGCAGATGTATGGTGGCTTGCAGTTGGCGTCCGAAGTTGACCGAGCCGTAACGTACTTTCGTGAGCAAGGCAGCTGGCCACTGCATTTGGGCCATCTTCCGTTGCAGAACCCGCTTCCTTCCCGGCCAGTTGTACTTGATGCCCCACATGCTGACGGCATACCTCATGTGGACGTGGCTCCTGTGCCTGTGCTCGGCCGTGACACGGGGCCAGATGCTTGCCCCAACACATCGGCTGGGCATAGGCACAATCCTGCAGAAAACCCAGAGCAGCTCACGCGTGTCCACGAACCCCCAGCCTAATTCGAATGTGGCTTTGTTCCCCACCCACTTGCACCAACATGCTTGCGAAAGACGCATGAGTGCGGCATGTGGAACACGGCGCCGATGTAGAATTTGCAATACTAGAATACCACATCGCACGCACTATTTCCATTGCAGTCAGAATTGCCGTTTCACTGTGTGCACTGCGTGCTTCCGTCCATC